CAGGCTGGTCTCGAACTCCTGAGCTCAAACAATCCGCCCGCCTCGGCCTCCCAGAGAGCTAGGATTACAGGCGTGAGCCACCGCGCCCGGCCCGAGCTAAGAATGATTTTATGTTTTTAAGAAAAAGTTTACTAACCCCTGATGTATAGCTACATGCCAACAATTTGGATGAGCCCTAGCAATGTAATCTAGAGTTGTGCTGTCCAAGATGGTAACTGTTAGCCACATGTGGCTATTTAAGTTAAATTTATGTAAATTAAAGAAAGTAAAAAATTCAGTTCTTGGTAGACATGCCTGGGTTCTAATGCCAGCATTGCCACTAGCTGGCTAAGTGACCTTAGGCAAAGCATTTTATGTTCTTGCATCTTACTTTGCTTGTGCATCTGTAAGAGAAATAAAAAGGTTTGCATTTAATACTTACTAAAAAAAATTCAATTCCTCAGTTGCACTGGCCACAATAAAGTCAAAACAGTTAAAACCAAAAAGATGATTATTATTTTTTTTAGAACTACACATAGAAGAAATAACAAAAAGGGAAAGCAAAGGAATAATGAGTACGGATTCAGCATTGTGGTGACCCAGAGTCAGGGCAGACAGGGGAGCTGCATGCCCAGGTGAAGTTACTGCTAGTGTGTGCAGAGCCTGTGCTGCCACCCACTTAGTAAGATTACTTTACAACATCATTATACCAAAACTGGTTTTTCCTGCAGGAATTTCAGTAAAGGTGTTTCTGATATCTGTAAGTGTATTGCCTGTAAGGTTGCTTGATATGTTTTCATGGGCCACAAGATGTCACTCTTGCTCTTGAAATTGTGACTCAGCAACATTTTCTTCTTCAGTAGAAGCTTTATTGAAAGGTCAGTGAGGCTGCCATCTTATCTGTTAATGTTGATTTCACCTTGAAATAGACTCATTTGCTGCAAACCTAAAATTGCAGCAATTTTCTCACACACAAAGAACCCTGAGTGCTGCTTACTGAGTTCTGAATTCTGATGACTGGTTCAGTACAGTAGTAGCCTGTGGGTGTTTTTTTAGAATAGTAACACTTGGTGTTGATTTCCTAAAACATGGGTTTTTTTTTTTTTTTTTTAAAGAGACAAAGCACAATAAACCGATATTTTATATTTGGATTTCAGCGGGTCTTGTAATAGGTAGGAAATAGTCTAGACAATCACCCAGCAAACAGCAATTCAGGACATGCCTGGCTTTAGAACTGACTTAATCCTAGCCTTCAGTATCGGAGTAGGTCTCAGCTAGAGTGAGGGCTAGTTTACTTTCCAAAGGGTTGAGGCCAGAACACTTGGGCAGTGTTGCCAGTGGACCTTAGGAAGCTTCTGGGGCAGGAGGCATCCAGTTGAAGGGCATCGTCAGTTCAAAAAGCACAGGATTGTAGCTGGAAATTAAGGAGCCCACGTTGTCTGCTGCGTCATTGAGTTGAAACCAGGAAGAAGAGCTGTGGTCAGTGTCTGGAGTTAGGCAAGTTGGTAGAAAATCAAGGACCCCAGGGGATGGCAGGTCAATATGGAAGTCAAGAAAGCCAGTGATTCAGGCTTCCAGGTTCAAATCCCCACCTCACCCAATGCTTATTACGGAATCTTGGGCTGATACATTTCTTCTTCTATAAAACATGGATAATATAGGGTTGTTGTGAAAATTAAATAGATCTAAAGGGTTAAAAAAAGATTTAGGATTTATTTTTCCTACCCTAAATTTGCTCACTTTTCTATCATAAATGGAAAAGAGAGAAGGTTGGCAGCATAGCATGGCATGAAACAATTTAAATAAAATATTATACCACATTTATTTGGCTTCTTGAAAATGTGTTCCTTAGCTGTTATTATAATTCTTCCAGCCATAACTCTTCAGGTTTTTACCATACTTCCTAAATGTAAAGTGCTTGTTAATTTTAGCTGGAGGAGAGCAGGAATGTTCAGAAGCAAATGAAGATTCTGCAGAAGAAGCAAGCGCAGATTGTGAAAGAGAAAGTTCACTTGCAGAGTGAACACAGCAAGGCTATCTTGGCAAGAAGCAAACTAGAGTCTCTTTGCAGGGAACTTCAGCGTCACAATAAGACATTAAAGGTTAGTTGGTTTATTTTTCTGTTTTTCGGGAGGGATTAACTTAGCTGATTTATAATCACCATGTACCTATTTGAAATAAATTCTTGTCTCTACTTAGAGACAGAGATACTGCCTTGCTTTCTCTTTTGTTTGGGCTGATGCCATGTGTGAAGCCATTGTAAATGAAAGACCAACTGTTACTACGGAAGTTTGGGTTCCCTGTTCAAGGAAAAGCTCCTTAGTTACCTCATACTTGGTCACAGGGAGTCTAGATGGGGTTGATGTTTATTGCCTATGGCTCTGCTGCTTAGAGCCATGGCTTATAGGAAGCTTAGAGTTGCCAATTTTCTGCTGACCGCTGATGTAGCTGATCACCAAGTAGGAAAAGCTGCTGTAAAGTGAGAAACTAGTTACACACTTGAGTTAAAGTGAGTTTAAGGGAGAACTCCTGCTCAACTCTTGGGTGGATATTATGGCTGCATTGCCTGAGTCCCACTCCCAGCTATTCGGTGGCTACTTTTAGAATGGCACTTACACCTTGGCTGGTTATAAAGAAAGAGGGAACAGGTACCCAAAGAGTAGTTGGTGTCACCAGGGGAAGAGGGAAAAAGAGCAAAGCCACAGGAAGGAATCTGCCTGTGAGAATGGGCTGGGCCTGTCCTTGTGTACAGTTGTGTATGACTTTGAGCAGGATCTCTGATCAAATACCTTCCCACCACCCAAAGAAATCCCCAAGGCCCTAGAATATAGGAGCACTCTGAAAATGGATCTTCACCTGATATGGGAGTCATTATTTTCTTCTTCGCTTTTGAACCCTTGATTGAGATCTTAAAGCAGGTGGTATTTTTTTCCCATGATAAATCAGTAGTTTGAGTGGGCTGATAACTGTTTAGACACGTACAGGTCTTTTCACACTTGTATCCCAGCAAGAGTTGAAAGTAAGCTTTTTAAAATAAGGATTCCATTTGTCCCTTGCCCTCTAGAGTGTGGAAGGTGTGACGCTGATGCACTGCATGACCAGCCAGGAGGGACAGTAGAGTGAACTTTAGATAGTCACATTGCGCTTACTGTACAGCAGGACGGTGTGTGTATGTCTCTGGTTACTTAGGCAAAAGTGCTTGCTTTTACGTGAGGGCCTTCTGGTCATACATAAGGGGCAACAATTGTAATTCAGAAGCAACACGGTGGGGCAGCAGTAAATGAACCCATATCACAGCAGCTGCTTTTGTGAGCATCTTTATCTTTAGGTCTATACCATTAACCGAAATTATTTTGGATAATAAGGAGGAAAATATGCAGCAGGCACGAGAGGAAGAAGAACGACGTAAAGAAGCAACTACACATTTCCAGATTACTTTAAACGAAATCCAGGCCCAGCTGGAGCAGCATGACATCCACAATGCCAAGCTCCGGCAGGAGAACATCGAACTGGGAGAGAAGCTGAAGAAGCTCATTGAACAGTACGCACTGAGGGAAGAGGTACCAGCGTTTGTTTGTTTCAACAGCTTCTCAGGATTAGCAAAATCTTCACCATTCACTACTAATGTAAAATCACTGTCACAGGATGTTTTATAACTTTCATGCATGTATAGTGGAAGTCAGTTGTTTAATGGGAAAGAATCAGGCACCACACCACCAAAATGACTAATTGCAGTCATCACTTGATGGCCCTGAAGTCACTGAATTTGGACAGGTGAGGTGTAATTTCTAGGGGACATGTTAAGTACTACTTGTCTTCCACGTGATATTGGAAGATTGCAATTTTGGCATACAGATGGTTTCCCCTTATCCAGACCTAATAAGGAATAAATATTTGGCCCCAGAATACCCTGTATCTTAGACATCTATGACAATCTATTAAGTGTCCACTACCATTGCATTACACCTGTATACATATGTTTCAGATTCTGCCCCCCCCACCCCAGAGGCAGGGTCCCATTCTGTCGCCCAGGCTAGAGTGCAGTAGCAAGATCACAGCTCATTATAACCTGGAACTCCTGGGCTCAAACAATCCTCCTGCTTCAGCCTCCCAAGTAGTTGGGACGACAGATGTGCACCACCATGCCTGGCTAATATTTTTTTTATTCTTTGTAGAGATGAGGTTTTGCTGTGTTGCTCAGGCTGGTCTCCAACTCCTGGCCTCAAGCAATCCTCCTGCCTTGGCCTCCCAAAGTCAGTTTTTTGTTGTGATTGTTGTTTTTGTTTTAAATGAGGGTTTCATACTATTAGAACCTATTTCTAAGCCCTCACACATACACGCGTTGAAGTAAAAAGTTTACTGGAAGGACCCACAGCTGCTGAACTTGGCCATCGGCCTCCAATGAAGACTTTTGCAATTATTTTACAATCTAGTCTGGAAGTTCAAAGGTGGTGTCCAGATAAGGAAATCGGTGCTAACCTGTTTTTTAAAGTTCCTTATTTTTAGATTAGAGGTCAGATGGACAGGGTTAGAGGCTTAGAGGTTTTAGGTCTTTTAAATGCCTTTAAAGTTAATACAATCTTGTGCTTTTGTGTGTGTTGTATACCTTACAGAAATGGATTCAAATTGCTGATTCATTTCTGGAATTATCCATTTTAAAAAAAAAGAAAAAGATTGCTGATTCAAATTTTAAAAAAAGATCATGGCATCTCTATATTACTTCATCCAGTTTTCAACTCAAACTTTATATTAATTTCTAGTTTTACATATAGCTTTTCAAAAATTGCTAGTTTTAAAAAAGGTTTTATTTTTATGACTTTCATAGTCTTTTGCCTTTTATTTTTTTTAAACTTACTATTATGGAAAATTGCAAGCTTAATAAAATGTAGAGAGAGAATATATCACCTGGCTTCAGCAGATGAAATCATAATTTCATCTGTACTCCCCTGGATTATTTTGAAGGAAATCCAAGGTGCCATATTATTCCATTCATAGGTATTTGACTGTGTAGCTCAAAAAGATAAGCATTCTTTTTTTTAATTATTTTTTTCTTTCATTTTCTTTTCTTTTTTGTTTTTCCAATCTTTACTATGAAAACCTAGATAAGAATTCTTTATAAGCATCACCACAATACAGTTTTCACACCTGAAAAGTTAATTATTTAATATTAAATATCTGGTCACTGTTCAAATTTTTCAGATTGTCTCCTTTTTAAAAAAGAAATTGTTTCAAACAGATCCAAATAAAGTCCATCCATTTCACTGGTTTATATGTCTCAAGTCTCTAAAATATAGATTTCCTCTTCTTTTTTATTCTTGCAGTGTGTTTATTGAAGAAACTTTTTTGTCTTAGAGGTTAAATTCTCTTTTTATTAGATTATAAAGCCCTCAATTTTTTTTTTTTTTTTTTGAGACAGAGTCTCACTGTGTTGCCCAGGCTAAGAGTGCCGTGGCGTCATCCTAGCTCACAGCAACCTCAAACTCCTGGGCTCAAGCGATCCTCCTGCCTCAGCCTCCCAAGTAGCTGGGACTACAGGCATGCGCCACCATGCCCAGCTAATATTTTCTATATATTTTTAGTTGTCCAATTAATTTCTTTCTATTTTTAGTAGAGACGGGGTCTCGCTCTTGCTCAGGCTGGTTTCGAACTCCTGAGCTCAAACAATCCGCCCGCCTCAGCCTCCCAGAGAGCTAGGATTACAGGCGTGAGCCACCGCACCCGGCCTAAAGCCCTCAATTTTTAAAAAATGATTTTTATTCTTGTTTAAAATGACAGTTTGCCTCATCATAGATGTAGTGAATTTAAACATTAGATATTTTAAATCATATTACTTGTGAGCCTCATTTATTTTTAATATTATAGAATGTTCTTTCTTTGGTCAGGAGATAATTAATAATCAAATTGTTTGCAGGTGAAGATCAATCATCTGCTGTACTCTCCTCAGTACTTAGTTAGGCTACCTTTATTACCAGCTAGCATTTTCCCCTCTCCAGCTGAGAAGGGATTGTTCCAGTGGTATTACTATACATCAGTAACCACTTAGCAATTTTGTTTGCAGACACTGAGCTTTTACCACATGTCTAATGTGTGCCAGGCACCAAGAACCTTACGTAGCTCAACCATTGCATTTACTGTTACAGCTCTGTAAGGTAGATGTGAGTATCTCCTGTCCAGACAAGGGCAATGAGCTTCAGCATGGGGAGGAATTTGTCCCGGGCCACATACTGGCCAGGGTTTGACCTGGGCCATTCCTACCATCGTGCCATGCTGCCTCTGGCTGAGAAACTTGAGAAAATGTAATGGGGAGAAAAAAAGGAATTGTGTACATGATGTATGGGTGTAATAGTTTGATCTCTTTATCTTGATGCAGTTTGAGCCTTATTTTCAGTGTAGGGCAGAAACAGGAAGTACAAAGCACTATAGTGACGGGGCTAGCCCACCTTTGACAGGGCCAGGCACGGGGCAGCAGTGAGAGGGCAGTGCTCCTGTGGGTGTGGGATGGTTTGCAGAGTCACTCCTTTTAGCACAGGGGCAGAAAGACCCAGTGTTCTTAGCTACAGTGGTATTAGCAGGAAAGCAGGGTAAACAGGATGTTGTAACTTGTATTGTTTCCTCCCCACTGTGTTCCTTTCTTCCGTAAGTGATAGAAGAATTTTTACTCTTCCCGTAGCATATTGATAAAGTGTTCAAACATAAGGAACTGCAACAACAGCTTGTGGACGCCAAACTTCAGCAGACGACACAGCTGATAAAAGAAGCTGATGAAAAACATCAGAGAGAAAGAGAGTTTGTAAGTTCTACTTCTTTTTTTTATTTATTTGTACAAATTTATGGGGTACATGTAAAATTTTGTTCCATGTGTATAATGCAGAGTGATGAAGTCAGAGTATTTAAAGTGTCCATCTCCCAAGTACAGTATATTTTTGTTTAAGTATAATCAGTTCTACTTCTTGAGAAATTATTGCCAAAATTGTAACCAAAGCCATTTAAAATGCTTAAACTTATTCTACATTTAATGTAGCACCTGGGGCATGCTGGTTGGTTTTTTGCTCTAGATTGAGAAGAGAGGAAGAGAGAGCAAGTTAGAAAGCATTCGGGTGTTTGTTTGTATTTAACTTTTTATATAGAAAATATATTGGAGAGATTAGACCATGTCAGTGGAAAGACCTGCACTTGCTTGATTTTTTCCTATGCTTAGAGCATTTATTTCACTTCTTAGGTAGTGGTCATCAGGTTCAGGAATTGTGCTGGTATTTAGCATATTAAATTTGGTAATTCAGTTTAACAAGCTTACCAAACACAGGTCTCCTCTATATGGTCACTTTTTTTTTTTAAACAAGTAACTTGAAACTAGGGAAACCATTTGTTTACTTACCCTGGTATCATTTCTGATAAAATTTTAACAGAATTCTCTATACCCTAATCACTCAGCATTGTTTCCAGAGTGTTATGCTCACATTATATTGCCTGTCAATAATTGTGAATACAGTGGAAATCTCATTAGGTATGTATATTTAATACGTGCCAATTCAACTATATGTGCTTATCCAAAAAGATAATAAAAGTAAGAAATGATTGTAGTAACCTGGACTGTTTGACCCATTGTTCACTCACGTGGCCAAGGCCCCAAGGTGAGTACGGAGTGAAGACTCAGTTCCTGCGTGGCCCTCGTGATGCGAACGTGTCATGCTGAGTGTGAGTCTAGGGCCCAGAGAGACACAGTTTTCCCAGTGTGGTCCTTTCACAGGAACTGACGATGGTATTCAGTGCTCAACTGAAAAATGGTTATCACGTCCAAAGTTGGAGTATAAATTTTACACACACGTACACGTGTGCACGTGTGTACTTTCAATAGGACTTTTCAAGGCTTCTTTGGACTATGTGTGTGACAGTTTCCTTCAAGGACTGATTTTCACAAGTGTCTACTATGCAGCTCTACTATGTAGTTTTCTTGAAAACCCAAGTACTGTGTATAAATGAAAGCACCTGTCCCCACTTGGGGACGATTTTTTAAAAAAGTGCTCAGGAACTAAGTGTGGTTTTCATTGCTTTGCTCCGTACCCTTTCCCCTTCCTCATCTTGCCTCTCAGGGAGTAGAGCGGCTTTCTAAGTCACCCGGGTAATGTCAAGATTCCTAGCCATGTTTTCTGCTAATACTAGACATGTGATTATTTTCACCTAAAATACAATTTAACTCTGGTTTTATAAACCTTATTAGGTCTCCAGGGTACTTTTTCTGCTTTAGCAGTAAAAGATTATTCCTACATTCCTGTGTTAACAAGTGGGACAGATCGAAGATACAGATAAATGGCAGTTTGTGAAACAATATTTTCATCTACAGACTTGTGGTTCTTGCTAAAATAGTGAGCAGAAGGATGAAGCCTAACTGTATGGTCATTCAGCATTGTAGATGTTTGTAATTACTATTAGCATTTTCCCAGAATGTTTCTGTTTTCTAGTTATTAAAAGAAGCAACAGAATCCAGGCACAAATACGAACAAATGAAACAGCAAGAAGTACAACTAAAACAGCAGGTAACTTGGCAGCAGAAGATAGAATTTGTAAGAAAAATCCATGGTTCATTTGATACATACCTTGAATCTCCTCTAAGATGGTTTTGCTTTTTCCCAGCCAGAGCTGACCAGAACTGAGGAGGAGATCACATGTCCCTTTTGGGATTTTCCACTTCATTTAGAGTAACCAACTCATCCCTGTTTGCCCAGGACTTCCTTGGCTTTAGTACTAAAAGTCCCATGTCCTAGGAAATCCCTGGTCTCGGGGCAGACTTGGATGGTTGGGCAATCTAGATACTTCTTTTCTTTTTCAGTCTGTTCTCACGTGTGTCACCTAATTTCCTGCTGAAGGAAAACTGATAAACCTCCAGATTTTAGTTCCTCCGTATCAAGTTGAACCACATGAAATTGCAAAAGAAGTCAAGAATATTTGACTTCTTTGACCTATAAAATGGCAATTTTGTATAGCTTAACCTAACACCTTTAGAATTTTGTGCTATGAGTACATAACCTATTCTGAAGACTGCATATGGCCAGGAGAGGTGGTGCGTGCCTATAGTCCCAGCTACTCGGGAGGCTAAGGCGGAAGGATTGGTTGAGCCCAGGAGTTCAAGGCTGTAGTGAGCTATGATTGCATCACTGTACTCCAGCCTGGGTGACAGAGTGAGCCCGTGTCTCTAAAAAAAAGAAAAGAAAAAACCCTGCATAGGACCACACAGTGTGCTCCCAGGTAGAGTTGTGGTGGTGGTGTTTTTAATCAGGGCCCTCCCTCCTTTCAGTCCCGGTCCTACAGGGTTGCCCTCTTGGATCTCTCTGTGTGGTTGCCTTGCATGGAATGAGAGTAGCAGGTGCTGTTCCCTTACTCAAAGAAAAGGTACAGGAGAGACTTCCCATGTCTTTATAGACAGGCAAAATTAGGTGTGTGTACCTATAATTCACCCTTTTTTCAGTTAAAACTACATTATGTTCTATTGAAAAAGTATTAACTTATTTTAAAGGTTTATTATATAATAAGTTTCTTTAAGCACTCTAAATTAGCTTTCAAATACACTGATTCATAGAGACTGGCATGAATCTTCACGAGCATCTCTGTGGAGTGCTGTTTTTCTTTGGGCAAGTTTTACAGTGTGGTGATGTTAACTTCCTATAAAGCTAGCCTAACTCAGAGTGAAAATTCAAGAGGTGTGAGGTATCGGAAATCTTTGCAACTTTTCACCGTAAGTTATGATCATGCCAGAAAGTGTCTAGGAGATTTGAACCCCTCACTTATCAGCCCAATACATTCAGTTGTCCAGGTAAATGAGGACGAGAATCAATGTGGAGAAGGTGTAAAGTCTACAGATGGCTTTGGACGATGTTCTTGAACGTGGGAGTCATTGATAATGCTGCAGTAGAAGTCACAGAGGGCCCTCTTACCAAGCCCCCAGGCTAGCTCCGATTCTGTTGTGCTGTCACCAGTGTAGCTTCTGTTGTCTGTGATCTGTGCCACCCTGAGTCATCATTTTGTTTGGTGTCACCTCCTTTTCCTGCTACCTAAATGTGGCCGTCCTTCCCAAGAGTATTTCATTCTCTGCGCTTACCATGTTATTTCCTAAGTTTTAATGCATTTCTGTGGGTTGTTAGAACTTTAGCCATCTGTGTCTGGTGTCCCAGGATTGGGTGTGCATTTGTTCTTATTTCTATCACTTATAACCAGTAAATCACATTTAACCATATTATGTTCATTTCAAAGTTTGGGAATTTGAATTGTTTACATGGAACTCAGAATATTTCATACTTTTTTTTATAGCTTTCTCTTTATATGGATAAGTTTGAAGAATTCCAGACTACCATGGCAAAAAGCAATGAACTGTTTACAACTTTCAGGCAGGAAATGGAAAAGGTATTTGCATATTTTCAGTAGAATATGACATAAAAGGGAATTTATATAAGCTCTTTTAATTATTACATGGGTGAGTTTGTTGTGATATTGTCTTAATTTTTATCTTTTCTGATCCTCCAGTGGCATTTTCGGTCATTTTGCCCTCAAAGTACCCTGAGTAGCTAATGATCTCTGTGCTCTTGGAATTCATTCTATTTCTATTACAGTGAAATCCTCTATTTAATATGATTTGTCATTAGAAATAAAGTCGTGGGGTTTTTTTGGTTTGTTGTTTGATTTGTTTTAATCACTTTACAGGATCACTTTTCAGTCTTTTCACAAAACTCTGTCCTGGGAGATTCAATTATTTAAAGATATCCAAGTCCAGTAAAGTAAATACATATTATCATTAATTGATAAATGTATCAGTGTTTGTTTCTACCTATCTTTAGCTTTTTTTCTTAACTTCACTCTCACTGAATTTTCTCCCCCATCCAAAGCAATTCATCGGCTTTTGTTGCATTTTCCGGCCTATGTTAAGGAAAGAGATATCCTGGCTCTCAAACTAAGAACCAATTCTGTACATATATATTTATCCAGTCATCCATTTACCCTTGTTTTACTTGGCATCTTCCCCATAAAATGGGGAACTTTAAAAAATGGTGTTGGGAGAAGTACAGTAGTGCCTGGCAGCTTGTCAGCAATTCGACAGATGTTAGTCATGACTGTGAGAGTTTACCTAGTGGTTGAGGGTGTGTGCTCTGGGTTGATGTCCCAGTTTTATCATACAATGTGTGACTATGGCAAGTTATTCAACCTTTCCGTGTCTTTCTGTTCCTTCATCGTTAAAAATGGTATAAAAAAAGACCCACCCTTCATAAAATAGACTATTTCAGACAGTGCTCGGCACATTAACATGTGCTCAATTATCATGTGGTTGAAGGGTGCTCAAATTACCATCTTTAGGTATTTTTAGACCTAGTAATCTGGAGAATTCCATGAGCAGCAGATTAGTTCTGTCTGCCAGTCCTTTCAGGCTCCCATCGAGGGGGAGCCGTCAGGCACAGCAGAAGTGTCATCTGGAGTCCAGCCCGGGCTCACTATTGAGGTGGAACGGAGTTCCAGGTGGGGACTCCCAAATTTGCTATCCTTCTGGAGAATCCTCTGGGACTGGACTGTGGATCAGCTCTCAACCCCGATCTTCCCGCAGCCTTTGTCCCAGCTTGCCTTGCGGCACAGTTGTGTGGGTGATTACCTAAGGCACAGGCATTGGCTGTCTTGCCCTTGTTTCCCTTACCGGCACCTGGCTCAGTGCCCGACTTGGATCGGGGCTGGTGTGCAGTCCGCGATGGATGAAGGAACACTGCCAATGTGGCTGACAGGCGTAGATAAATCTCATTCTGAATTTCTGAAAACTGTGTTCTGGTAGCATAGGCTTAAGAACACTTTCCTGATTTTTGGACCTACTTTAGCAAAATGTGAAGTAAAACAGTCTTATGGGTTGTGAGGATGACCAAAGCTCACGGATTTACTACTTCTTCTTGGTCATTGGAGTCTTACTAAATTACGCTGCCTCTGGTTTGAAGCTGATGTCGGAGGTTGTGGTAGAGCATCAGTTCTTCATCTTTTGTGGAGCTGAAAATCATTCATCCCAAGAATCTGAGGAATTAGTTTAATGGACAGAAAACTCACACCCATGGACATTTTTTCATACAACTTGGGGAGCAGGACTTGTCTCTTGCTACCTCCAGCCTTAATAGAGTTCAGAGTGTGTTACTGCCTCTGGAATTGAGATTAAATTTGTTTTTCTCATAATACAAAACCCCTATTTTGGTTCCGCCCCAGGAGCTTCTGAGATAAGCTCTGCTACCGACAGACAGGCACAGCTGTCAGCTGGGTGAGGCAGGTGCAGGGGACGGGCATTAAGACATTTTTGTATGGTGGCATGGAGTGTAGAGATAAGAAATGGAACTTGGAATTTGAATGTGCAATTGTGTTGATTTACAGATGACAAAGAAAATTAAAAAACTGGAAAAAGAAACAATAATATGGCGTACCAAATGGGAAAACAATAATAAAGCACTTCTGCAGATGGCTGAAGAGGTGAGATGATGGTTTCCTGCGACTAAGGCGTAGTCTTAGTCCTGGGGACTCGTAAGTTCAGGTACCTATAGGGCAGGGGACACGGACAGTTGAGGACCCTGGCCAGAGTTGGGGTGGGAGGGGTTACTGAGTGCTGTCTTTCCTGGCGGTTAAGCTTGGTTTAGGTGCTGGGCCCCCAGGGAGGGATTGAGCTGCTTACTGCCCAGTCAGCCCAGGCTTGCGCTGGAGACAGCTGTAAAGCATCTAGATTTTGCTTTCTTCTCCAGCAGTGGCTTCTCAAACTTGAGCTTGCATCCAACTCTCGCTTGTTAAGACCAGGATTTCTGGGCTCCACTCAGAGGCTGATTCACTGGGTTTGGGGTGGTGGGAGAATCTGCCTTTCTAACAAGCATCCAGGCGATGCCAGCGCAGCACTTTCAGGGGCCGGGCCATACCTTGGGAAGCACTCATCAGACTTCCCAGTGACAGCGCACAAGCAACTCAGGGGCCTTCTATCTTGACTTAGTCTTTCAAAAAAACAACAAAGTATTTTTTGCCAGTTTCATAAAGCTGAAATGTATAGCTTGCTGTCACTGAATTTCACACCTTCAGAAACTCGATAGGTCTAGTTTACAACATTTCACAAGAGAGAAATGTCGGGGCACATGTACACAAGAATCTTGTTCTCATCTAAAAATTGGTAGAAGAGAAATTTATGTAGAGATGAGCCATTTTCATTTTGTTTTTATTTAGGCCATTAAGTTTGCTAGTCTTTGTGAGGAATATCTTGAATTTTCTTTAATAGTTCATCAATATGAAATGTCCTAAAAAGTAGATTGTCTTATTTTTTTAAAAAACATGACAAAGAGGGAACTTTTTTGTCACCCTAGAACAATACTATGTTAAATATCATTTGGGATACTGAGATGTGTATGCAGTGAAGCTAGCTAGCTAGAATGTTAGGAGTCTGAAGAGACTGAACATGCTCAACAGGTGAGAAAACAGGTAGTTACCATACAGCTCGGCTTATTTAATTTTTTTGTATGTAATAACCTGACGTGTATTTAGTGAGGTTATGTAAATCCCATGTCTCTTTCCTTACAGAAAACAGTCCGTGATAAAGAGTACAAGGCCTTTCAAATAAAACTGGAACGGTTAGAGAAGCTGTGCAGGGCTCTTCAAACAGAACGGAATGAGCTCAACGAGAAGGTGGAAGTCCTGAAAGAGCAGGTCTCTGTCAAAGCAGTGGATGGGGATTTAGCGACGCCTGGGGTGCGGCCCTGCGCTGCCCTGGATCCTCACAAGGAGCGGAATGCTTCGTGGAAAAGAGCCCCCAGAGTGCACCTGGAGGCCGAGCCCAAGTCAGCGAGCGCGAAGCCAAAGCCCCCATGCACAGGCTCTGCTCCAGGCATAGAGTCGGTTGACTAAGATGAGGTGTGATCGCTGTGTCGAGAGATATATTTTGTGTATAACTTTTCTCTGTTAGTAGTAACCATTGGTTTTGTGGTGAAAATTTTCTTACTTTTTCTACCATATCTGTATTTTCTTAGAACTACTGGACTTATGTGGTACAGGAGGCTGCTTAGCAGTTCTGAATAGTTTTAATCTATGAATTCTCCTCAGCTGTGTTGCACATCTGCCTCATTGCCCCTTCATTGGAATGCATGTGTTCATTGCCTCGTCCTTTCTCTTCCCTACTCCTTCCTTGCACATAATTATCCTAATTAAAATTTCGCTCAAGACAGGGCCGACCATTACAAAGGAACGTTGTTCTGACAATGGTTCCTTGATGTGAAAACAACAGTAATTTAAACGTCTTGGCACCCGTTAATATTCAAAGAAAGAAAATATCAAGATGATTAGTTTTGTCTAATAGCCCATTTAAATGCTGAGTAAAAATAAAACTAGTATTGGGCCAGAAACAAGCATAGCATATATGATTCAAATTAGATTTGGTAATATTTATACCACTCAACAAATTGAGATGGCCACAAGCCTAGAATCCCTTTAAGTTTTGCCAAAACATGTATATAAAGATGTCACTTGTGAACAAAGTAGTATATACAGCAAATCATTGGACAAACAGGCTTAATGTTTATGTGACTAAAAGTAGTCATTCTGCTTTGGTTTCAGGTTAGAACCCACATGTGGAATCTCAACCACTGGGAGCTCACTGTAGGGGATGGTGGTTTATGTTTCCTTTCCATTTTGGATTTGGGTACATGTTTTCCACTTCCCACAGAAAGCTGATTATTCTTTGAAAACTGCTGTTGACCTTTGCAGTCACTTTTAAGTCCATTGTCAGTTTAAGACAATGAGGGTAAAGTTGTATGTCGCTTTTCACTAGGCAAAAACTCTTCAGTAGCTTCTGGCTACTTGAAAGGTGTTAAGAGTCCCACCAGCAAAGTACTCCAGGGTTTTTAAAAGGGAGTTTTTAATTGTGGATCAGTGCCTACCTGAAACTGACTTAATTTCTGAAACAAACACTGGAACCAACAACATTTTTACTTTGGGAAAACTTAGAGTGCTAGGTAGTCAGGATCTGTACTTATGCTTTCAGTCTGTTTCTCACCCCTTTCTTGGTTACCTTTTTTTTTTTTTTAAAGGAAAAAAATTTCATCAAGGTCCATACACTTGGAATAGGGGAAAAATCTTTAATTCTTTCCTTTGCTTTTTTCAATGTTTAATGTGGCTCAGTTATGCAAATGATTAATCAGGCTGCACTGATGAAGTTTTGACTTTGTCCCTGGTTTAATTTGCATTGAAATGCTTTATGAAATAAAAAGGTTCTACGAGAACTGCTGTTAGCACATTCCACTGAGCAGAACTATCAAACTGACACTTGTTAAATTGCTTACTGGACCAAATAAACTCTGGTTTGTCCAGTTAAAAGGGTTTTCTCTTTGTTAAAAGTTTTATTTGTAAAGTCCTGTCACATTCATGGTTTTAAACTGGGTTGAAAGAATTGAAAATTGTCCAATAGATAGGAAACAGCGCCTGGAGTGGAGGATTATATCTAAGCTTCTACCAACAGTCATGTTAATCGAGGGGCCAGACAGCAGAGGTAAAGAAATCCACAAAGTAGGTTATCTAATTACTCTGTCAAAATGAGTCGGAAGCAAAAATAACAGTACCCTCTAACAGCCTCTTATAAATACCCCCTTCAGCTACTAAATGAAATATTGGACTCATTTCCCCAGGGGGAAGTGAAGGTATATATCAGAAACATAATCTACCTTAAAATTAGTACTAATGATCACATTTCACAAGAACTCTGCTGGATGTACAGCTCTTAATGTTTTATTAAGCCATTTGTGTAGCCCACCACGTTTCTTTGTGGTGCTTGTCCTTTGTGGAAGATTGTAAATCTTAGACCTGTTGCATATTTTCAAGGGCTTTATAAAGCAATGTGATTAACAGTACTTGGCCTGCTGCTTTTGGCTATGTGTTTTTAGCTAGATGCTATCGTAATGTTTAAAGGATATGGATTCTGTCTGGGATGCGTTTGGTGTCCTTTCAGAATCTTTCCTCCCATTACCCTGTGAATAAAAACAAACGGGACCCTCAGAGGAGGACACCCTAAAGCTATCACCTCACCAGCCCAGTGTTGTGGCTTTGTAGCACACCCTGTATCTACCACATTCTAGAACACTGTAATGCTTCTAGGCTGGCCCAGAAAAGGTTTAAATGTCAAATTCACTTAAACTGCATTTGTTTGCACCATCATGGAATCTTGATGTGTATTATTTATGGTGACAGTAGATTACAAGGTGTAGAGAAAACTTGGGTTTTGGATAATGGACCATTTCATCCTCAGACTTGTAGGAGTACACTTCTTGGTCTCGAGACCAATATTTTTCAGTTATGTATGCAACTGCCTTTATTACACCTGGTTATCACAATTCAACTCTCAGGTGTTGCAGAAAAATCTACCTCTTTCAGACTGTAGATGGAAATAACTGTGAAAAAATGATGCAGATATCTTCTAGTTTGTGCTAAACACACTGCTTTATTTTTACAGCCCACGTCTTTCATGAGGATATGAATTGTTAAGAGGCAGTCTTGTTTTGCTTTTCAAAGACATTTTGTAGAGATTTTTCACTAATGTGAATCTGATTTTATCTACTTGATTCTGTATAGATTAAGTAAATATGTATGATAAATTTAACAGCTTCTGTGTATTCTTTTACTACCCATGTGGCCTTAATTGTGTAACAAGTCCAAAGGTACAATTTTACCCATTTCTACTCAAAGTAGATATATGCACACACCTCCCCACTCCTACACCAAGCTTATAAAAGAATGAAGCAAAATTTATTTTAAAACTTTATTTCTGCAAAGCCAATCAAGAAGTGTTGGAAGGAAAAAGTGTAAAAGTTATTCTTGCATATTTGGGAACAGCAAGCACTTAGTTTGAGAAAATGAGGACTTAAAATAGTTGAATCAAAGGCAGTACCCTGCTACTTGTATTTTAAAACAATGGTGATGTTCTTTCTTAAGCAACATTCCTTTCTTCCCTAATAGCTACAATATGATACAGTACGCAACAGCTCACTTGAAAGTGCTAGAATCAGAGGGTAAAGAACGCCATAAGCCATCCCACTTAACATTTTCTACTATACAATGCCTTTTTGGTGCTTGAGAAATCAAGCATTTGTGTAGCATTACATTCAATAGAAACATGTTTCATACTTTGGGTTTAAGATCCTTGTCCCTCCAGTTCCGATGTTGTGACATCTGACTCTTCATCATTGTAAATATTTTCAGCCTGGAGATAACCAAATAAATTCACAGGTAAAACTCCCTATGGTTTTCACAAGATCATCTAAAAACAGAATTTAATATTTATCCAGAATTTTACTAGGTTTTTTTTTTTTTAACATGTCCTCCCAAAAATTTAAGGAAAAGGTAGGCCAGTATTCTCAAAAATTATTTGCCAGTATGTAATTCCACATACACACCTAGCCTGCCATGCATTACTTATTTTGATCATTGTTCGTAAGAGGCTTTTTCCAAAAGCATTTTTAGAGGGATCTACAGCCCAGATGTTTATGAAAGGCTTGGTTAACACCTAAACACCTTAAAAATGTCAAGTACTTAGCACTCGTAATCAGAGAACTTGGTATCATTTGAATGCCTTGACATTTCCTTCCTGTATCCCTCATGCCCACAACACAGTACAGACACTGGACACAGATAGTGATGCTAAGACCCCCAGTGGATGAAGAGTGCAGCAGCAACAACAAAAATCGGAGCACCAGTATGGAACTAAATTGTGTTGTTAAAATGGGAAAAATTATTTTAAACTGTTTCCTTTCTATAAATGTTAGGTACAATATGCACTATTTGAAATAATCCTATTATATCACTAGTAAATCTCTGCCTTACAAGATAGTCATTCAAGAAAAATATTTTAACTCACCATTTGCCATATCTGCATGATGTTATCCTCAGACACTGAGCAAATGACCCAAGGCTCATTGGGGTTCCAGCTAAAGTCTGAAATCTTGGCAGTGTGTCCTCCATGAATAAACTGTTAGTAAGAAGAAAAAAAGCTCTGGTTTCATATACTCTCCTGTTAATTCTGATTCTTGTATTAAAGATTTTAAAAACAGTTTTTACAGCATCAGTATTTCAACTGGGGGTAGGGGCACTGTGCCATGGTTTACATTTAGAGCGAGGGCTTTAGGCTCAGTCATCTACCCCACCTACTTACTTTGCAAATTTCCAAACCTTCAGAAAAGGTGGTAGAATATAGTACAATGAATACCTGACCTGTATATCCTTCACCTAGATTCACCAAGTAATAATATTTTGTTTACATACGCTTTATCTGTATGTGCCTATACAATGAAATGGCTAGGTACCTCAGCCTGCGTCCCCTAAGAATAAGGTCACTTTCCTACATAACCACAATGCTGTTTCCATACTGAATACGAAGAACACTAATCCAGCATGAGTCACTGGTATACGGTTAGGTAATCAATCTGTTTCGAGCATGTCATGTTACGTACTCTTCTACGCTGGGCCTCCCTGAGCAGTCTCCTGGTTCTCCCCCTGCCCACTTTACTAAAAGAAAGGCATACCTCTTGCCCATCCTCAATCTTTCCAAGGTACACTGCCCCAGGGTCAAAGAAAATCCCTTGGGCTCCAAAAGTGTAGCTCCAGAGTCTCTCCATAAGTTATGCCTAAACCAAGAGAACTTTGCTAGAACATGCTGAAAGAGGCAGCCTTATTTCCTGCAAGAGACGACCTCATGGGAAGGAACTGTGCCTTCTTTACTTTAGAATTAAGATTCCGAGTAAACAGTTCTTCAAGGACAACATTAATAACATTGTTTTCAACTGGAAAGTCACACTTTCTGACAAAGTCTGATTTGACTCTTTAGTTTGACAATGAGGTGTCTGTCTACCAGTTAGGTTATCTGCAATGTAACTATCTAATAACCTTATTAGTTTCAAAATGAGGTAGTGGTAAACAGCTTTTCCAAAATACTGTTAAGGGGTACACAAGTGAAAATACTTTAAGATCACTGGGGCTTGGAATACATACAAGAGTCATCAGAGCAAGATACTGTTATGTTAAAATTATAGTTAGAATACAGTTGACTACTCCTAAATGTCCCTTGATTTCAGGCTCTCTTCTGAAGAGCAAAATCCTAGTTGATTTTCTCAAGGACCATGAAATTGTTGCAGAGCTGTAATATACAAAGTAATACACTTTCCTCTTCCCGTGATAGCAAAAAATAGCTGGAAACCTTGAAAACATTATGCTAAGTGAAAGAATCTGGCACAAAAGACCACATATTGTATGATTCCATTTATATGAAATGTCTAGAATAGCCCAGAGCCAGAGAGTAGATTAGTGGTTGCCAGGGGCTGGAAGAGGAATGGGAGGTGATAGCTACAGTTTCTTTTTGAAGGGATGAAAATGTTCTAGAATTGATTTGTGGTGATGGCTGTATAAGTCTATGAATACACTAAAAATCATTAACTTATACGCTTAAAATAGATTAATTGTATGGTATATAAATTATCTTAATAAAGCTGTTATCAAAATAAAAAATAAGTGAAATAGCTGGGAATGCCTTTTCTAGAAAATACTTAAAAACTATGAAGCCTTGTTCACAAAACAGACTTTTCAGAACAAGTTGCTTAATATAGAAAAAAATAATATTCAGATACTACCACCTGGCTATGGCAGTAGTTTATTGAGAAATACTCTTCTTTCCACTTAGCTTTAACTTGAAACCCAGAGGAATACTCTGCTTTTATCAACAGTGCTATAAACCGTGAACATGCTGGGGCGTCTGTGTCTCATCACACCCGGTTTCTGTCCAGAGCTGCTGGGACATGGCAACTACCTGGCTAAGGAGTAAAAAGGCCAGGGTGTTTGTTCAAGGCGGGACATGGTGGGCATCTTCTGTGGGCAGGGCTTAGTCTCAAGGGCCTTCTTTACCTTTTAGAACTTGTGAGGGAAGTACAAGTATACAAAAACTAGTACTGGCATTTGGAACTAAATAAAACATATGTTACAATGATGAATGACTATCTGCCAAATGACTGGAAGAGACAAACACTGAATTTAGAGCAAGGACAAAGAACCATGCTAAGTCCCGCAATGCTTCACAGAGAAGTGTACACTGAAGGACTCACAGACAGGAAGAATGAGGAGGACAGACACTACCACATAATTATGCCTTCAAGAGATAGAGGAGATGCAAGATGATTCAATTAGAAACAGGAGGGAGATGGTGGGCACTGCTGGCACCAACAAGGTCAAGGAAGCATTCATTTTCTGGGCAGGGAACTTAAAAAATCAGGTCATTAAAATTTTTTTCTCATACTGTTAGAAAGTGTTAAGTATTGCTAACTGAAGAGCAATTATACTCACCCCAAACCCTCAGAAATATTAGAGTTAAAACTAGTGAGAAATTACTACACACTATGCCCCAGGACCTCCAACTACTCTCATTGAAACATTTGTAAAAACCTACTGGGCTCCATTTACTATTTCCGATAAATGCCAAAGCCCAATCACAATAACCTCCAGAACCTCCATTTTGAAATCATCTGCAACAGCTAGAATGTGAAGTTCTGGCTCATTTTTGAGATAAATGGACCAACGACAAATAATCCAATCTGCAAATGACATTTCATCTTCCGTAAGAAAGCCAAAGCATACCAGGAGTTCTGGAGGCCCATCTTCTGCATCTTCTGCTGATTGTTCTTCTCCAATTTTACTATTAAGAAAGAACACAATGCTTTCATTATTGAAACTCTTGCAGCATGAATGTATGCTAAACCAGTATCAGCCCAGAAAGCTATCTTAAAATGCACACACACTCAAAAAACCAATTTATTTTTATACTACAATTAGTTTTTTTTTTTTAAATAGAGACAAGGTCTCACACCATGTTGCCCAGGCTAGCCTAGGAATTCCTGGGCTCAAGTGATCTTCCTGCCTCAGCCTTCTGAGTAGCTGAGACTATAGGTGCGCACCATTGTGCCCAGCTAGGGTTTTTATATTAATTATTTGGTGGGAGGATGGGATGTTTACTTCCTGGAAGTGAGTTACAGTTGTTCATAATTGAAGCTGTAGAATGAGGAATTATTATTAATAATAAACATTAATTCAAAATTCCTTCAATATTTTAACCTTGTTTACTGTATTAGAATTAAAAGGTGAAAAGTCTATTTTAAAAATCTACACATGAGGCCGGGCGCGGTGGCTCAAGCCCGTAATCCTAGCACTCTGGGAGGCCGAGGCGGGCGGATTGTTTGAGCTCAGGAGTTCGAAACCAGCCTGAGCAAGAGCGAGACCCCGTCTCTACCAAAAATAGAAAGAAATTAATTGGACAGCTAAAAATATATAGAAAAAAATTAGCCAGGCATGGTGGCGCATGCCTGTAGTCCCAGCTACTTGGGAGGCTGAGGCAGTAGGATTGCTTGAGCCCAGGAGTCTGAGGTTGCTGTGAGCTAGGCTAACGCCACGGCACTCACTCTAGCCTGGGCAACAAAGTGAGACTCTGTCTCAAAAAAAAAAAAAAAAAAAAAAATCTACACATGAAATGGTGCACAGCCCCTAAACTTCACTCTTAAAGCTTTTTGCATTCCAGGAGTGAAATACAATTACACATCAGTACTCTAGATCTGTCTAAAGATATGGCAACAAAACAACTTTAACTATAGAATGTATAAGCCAAGGAAAGGCTTTTAAGGTTTCTTTTCTTCTCTTAAAAAAAATTTCAATTTGCAGAATTTGCCAGTAATCCCCCAATAATGAAATCACTCTTTAAGTTACTTATCGAATGTCAGCTTTATATCTCGCTAAAAGATACACATGCTAGTAATAACCACTTTAAAAAAAAAATTCAAAATACAGCCTTCCAAACAAGACTTTCTTTTTCCCTTCCCATAAAACTGACCAAACAAACCTAAACATGTAGGATTGCTAGACAAGTATATTTCTCTTCCCCGTCAGGAGTATAGTTGCTAACACCATTTTAATCCTGAATTTTATCTAATATAATTTTAGTATTAAGTTATGGGCTGAGCATGGTGGCTCATGTCTGTAATCCCAGCACTTTGGGAGGCAGAGGTGGGAGGATCCCTTGAGGGCAGGAGTTAGAGACCAGCCTGGGCAACACAGTGAGAACTCATCCCTACAAACAATTTAATAAGTAGCTGGGTGTGGTGGCATGCATCTGTAGTCCCAGCTACTCTGGAGGCTGAGGCAGGAGGACCACCTGAGCCCAGGAGTTCAAGGCTGCCGTGAGCTATGATGGCACCACTGCACTCCAGCCTGGGCGACAAAGCAAAACTCTGTCTCTTAAAAAAAATAAAAAATAACAGTTATGAACGAATTATAAGAAATTATACACAACATCCACAAATTACTAGCACCTTTAGGGGCAATACAGTTGCCAGGGCATCAGACTTCCAAACATTGCTGTAACACTTCACACAACCACTGTATAATTTTGTCTTAGGTTTTTAATTTTACTACTAAAATTGTTTTTAAATAAAATAGAAGAATGCATCCAAATATCTGGTTTAAAGATTTTCTGCATCTTCAAGAATCTTTCGTGGTGAGTTTGTTCCATAAGAAACTTTGAACATTAGATGTTTTAAGTTTTACATGCGATGTGAGCATTTTATTCTGAAGTGTCTCTTCCATACATTGAAGAGGGGTCTACTGTCTCCATAATTAAGACAGCCTTAGTTTTAACATACAGGTTGAGCATCCCAAAACCCCCAAATCTGAAATGCTCCAAAATCCAAAACTTTTTAAGCACTGACATGGAGCTCAAAGGAGATGCTTGTTGGAGTATTTTGGGTTTTGGATTTTCAGGTTTGGGAAGTTCAACTGCTAAGCATAATGCGGGCATTCCAAAATCTGAAAAAATTCAAGAATCAGAAACACTTCTGGTTTCGAGCATTTCAGATAAGGGATGTTCATATCTGTACTAAATTTAGTCCATTTCAAAATAAAACATTTAATACAAGCAGGAAGGGTTTTTTTGGTAATTCTATGATTCAAACCTAAGATGATGACATCTTATGGAGAAATATATAACTGAGCAACTTTATAGTGGTTCTAAATAATGCTCACACAAAAAAAAGTAAAGGTGTCTGAAATTCTTAGAACAGCAACTCTGAAGTCAAGCACTTAAGAATTGGGAAAGTATGGCCAGGCGCGGTGGCTCACGCCTGTAATACTAGCACTCTGGGAGGCCGAGGGAGGCGGATTGTTTGAGCTCAGGAGTTCAAAACCAACCTGAGCAAGACTCCGTCTCTACTAAAAATAGAAAGAAATTAATCGGACAAGTAAAAATATATAGAAAAAATTAGCCGGGCCTGGTGGCGCATGCCTGTAGTCCCAGCTATGCGGGAGGCTGAGGCAGGAAGATCGCTTGAGCCCAGGAGTTTGAGGTTACTGTGAGTTAGGCTGACGCCATGGCACTCACTCTAGCCAGGGCAACAAAAGCGAGACTTTGTCTCAAAAAAAAAAAAAAAAAAAAAAAAGAATTGGGGAAGTCATACAATGAGCCCTGGAGAACATAAGCTCTCTGATAGCATGGACTGTCCTTGTCCCCTTCACAAAGGTCTCCCTAGCAGTTATACTACCCACAGCAGGAGCTCACATCTGCAGAATGAATCAATGAAAGCACACAGGAGCAAATGGTAAAAAAAAAAACTCTTAGAAGAATAATCCTGCTGGTGTACTATGAGATCCAACGAGACATGAACAGCTAGCTAGCATTTATTCCTTTCTATAGCAAGAGTGTTTTAAATATAATCATTTGGATGCAAAACACACACACACACAAAACTTCATGCCTGAATATCAAGAGATAAACAAAACTCACAACAAAAATTTATTTTATGGTCCATTTGCTGATTTACTTCCTTTTATAGAACAAAGGCTCTTTAGGAAGGCACTTAAAAGTTTAATATTAGGCTTATTGAAGTGGGATTAGGAAATTGCTTTTCTAGTTTATGAATCATTACATAACCTGCCAGATTAGCATATTTCTTTAGTGTCGCATCATAGGACTCTGAGTTACCTTAAATCCCACACATTCAGGCGGCGATCAGTACCACTTGAAGCCAGAATAGTTTCGTTATGTGGAGACCAGTGGACCTAGCAATAGGTATTTTGAAAATGTATTTAGTGAATCATCCGTTGCTAGGTTTGTGGCTATTGTTCTAATCTCTGATATTTTCCCATCTTGTACTCTGTAATCTTATCCTCAGCCTAAAGACCTCACCCCCTTGTCCCAGCCTTCCAAGTGCTCTGAAATAGCCCAGCTCCAGCCTGTCCCCAGGAAGTTCGCGTTCCTCAGTACTACGCAACTAAGGATTCCAACAAATTTATTCAGCACCATAACCATCCCAGAAGCTCTTAAAATTTTCAATGTGGTATCTCTTAACCTATGCAAATCTCTATGTTAAAATATGTACATTTTTTCAGTAGTGGACCCACCAATCTGGTATACCTTAAGTGAAGAATCCTTGGATTTTGTTTTTCAAACTGATCCTGTTTTGTGAGGATTTTCCCTCTACTTCTGAACTAATAACCTCTTAAAAAGCTCTAAGCTATTTCTTACTAGTTTACTCATAACAGTAAAAAAAGGAGCTATCTAAAAAAAAAAAAAAGTCCCATGCCTTCCATATAAAAGAAAAAATTAAAATCCCCCTGCCCCCACCCAAAAAGTTACTGAAGCCTGACATACAGACACCAGAAAACAGTCACGTACCTGGAAAATTTCATCTTTATGTGATTCAAAGGTATGGAGCTTTAATTTTAAGTTACGCAGATCCCATAAAGCTACGGTCTGAAGAAAAATGACAAATAGAAATGAATTTATTTCTGTGCTTTACTTAAGAGCTGTCAAATATCTGATTAAAGCACAAGACAACAGCTTTTATAAACAACATGCAAAAACTTTGAAACCTTATCTGCAGAGCCGGTTGCTAGAATGAACTCGCTATAGGGATTGAACGAGAGGCAGTTGACCTCAGCAGTGTGCGCATCCACCAAGTGGCTCGGTTTGGAGGTGGTATTGGACCTGGTATCCCATCTAAAACACAAAGAAAGCACACAGCACCCAAGAAGGACGCTCAAGCCTCCCAAGATTCTCACACACACACTCACACTGGGCCCCATGTCAGTGTCATTCCACTCAGCACCACTGACACATTCTAAATCTGTGGAGAACAAACTCAGGCTCTATTGTTTCTGGTTCCTCTTCTATTAGATTCTTTGCTTTAATTACAACTACTTCAAGCATACATAAAATACAGACTTTGTAGAGAATAATATAACAATTTACTACCTACAACTAGCCTTGACAAATTTCAGTATTTTGTCACATTTGCATCAGATATTAATTAGTTTATAAGATAAGAAGCATTACAGGTGATTGAATGCAGCCCCGTGGCCACACCCTGATGAAATCATTCTCCTCCCTGACCTCCAAGTGAAGACACTCTGGATCTCAGTTTTGATATTTACCACTACCAACTATGTTCCTTCACATTTACATACCTGTTTTTTTTAATAAACCGTGTTTATCCATATAGCACAGTAATTTATGTACAAAGGCCATTACCTATATGTAATTTATTATATGTCAATTATACCTCAACTAAAGCTGTTTCTTTTTTTTTTTAAGGCCATAACATAACTTTAAAAAAGGAAATCAGACCACAATCCACCGCGATCACTGACTGTCATTCAGGTCACCCATCTAACATAATTCCATTGAACTTTCCACCTTACATCATAAGTTTCTGATCATCAGCGACAGATCCAAACAATGACTCGTGCAGCAGATGCCAGGCCACATCCTCTACAACAGCTGAGTGGCCGGTAAAGATCGCTTTAGCATCCACAATTTTGCCTTCCTTTGGTCCTGCGTTTATATCCCACAGACAGACAGTCTGAGGGAGAAGGGGGGGAGAACAAAAGCTGTAAGAGATTGAACTTAAATGCTAACACCTTATTTAATACACCTTCATTAGAAACAAAACTATTTGACTATATAAAATTTAGAAATAAACAGAAGGGAGAGGAAATATAAACAAACAGTAGAGGGTGGGTGTAGCCTCCATGTCAGATGCAGAGGGGAAGGAAACTCCACTGTAATGAGGGCAGGGGGAGACCAAGTATGGCGGCAGGCATGGGACACTTGGGTTGGAGTTTCTACCTACACATACATTCAGACATTCAGGTATCCAAAATTCATCTAGATGACACAACAAATCACTGAGAGGCGCTCAGTATCTACAGAACAGAAATGCACATCCTAAAAATTCACATTGGGTTGAGAAATCCAGGAATTAGAACTAAAATGTGCCTCTTAAAAAGCAAAAGTCTTTCAGACAAGTCTCTCACTTCATGGCAGAAACCACCACAGACATCAGGTTTGACAGTTGAATGACCCTGGGCCAAAAACCTCTACTAGTCTACTAAGAGAGGTCAAAGCTTGGGGCCTACAGACAGATCCCCCATGGTGTACTCTTCGAAACAACAGCAGAGCCCAGGGAGAGGTCACAGGGCCTTCCCCGGGCCTCAAAGATCACAGTAGCCCACAAATCATGAGCCTTCATGATCTGAGTTTTCTCTTGACATCCTATCACAAAAAGAATTAAGAGGAAAGTCTTAAGTTTTTAATGAAAAATATTGCAAGCTATAGGGCAATGATTCTCATTCAATGGTTTAAAATAAGAAGTGATTCCACCAAGGTATATTAGCACTAATTTTAATTCCACTGGCACTGATATGAGCTTCATCTCTAAGTCACTTACATGAAGGGGTTTCTGAAACAAAGCTATTTCCCAGCACATTTTCCCAGTAACAAAACCTTTTCTTTACACAATACATATGCCCTTAGTCTCTTGTTACTTACACACTCAGATGTCCAATTTACACGCACTGAAGAGAAAGGAACTTGTGGAGCTCTTGCCATCACCCCTGCTCCCCACCTCAGAAGGACCCTGGGGAGATTAGCACGATGCCTGGCACATGAGGAGCCCTTGGTAAATGTCAGCTATTATTATTATCAGCCATTTCCAGCCCAGTGTCTTCAAAAGGTACTAGTAATTAGGTTACTGAGTACAGCCCACCTTCCCTATTTGGGAAACCATCCCACATACACTTAGAGGGAAGAAGCTTATTTTCAGAAAACCAAGGCAGATGCTTGCTTCTCTGGCCTCCTTAGCAGCTGGGATGCAGGAGTGTGACAGAGGCTCCGTCATCCCCCAAGACTGAACTGTAAACAGCAATGGGAGAATCTGTTCTGATGGTGGCGGTGCTGGGGGCAGCAACATCCACTTCCCAAGGTGGCCACAGCGATGTCTTTACTGGCCTGACTTGGGTCATGGATCTGGCCTCACCTCTTTCTTTCAGGGCAGTTTTCTAAGCCTCACTCTCTAGACATCACAGCAATGCTGTGAGCCACCCTACCCAATGCTCCTCCACCAATAGATTCCTTTTCTGTTGAAATTAGCCAGAGTTGGTCTTGGCTGCTTACAAGTAAAGAACCTTCACTGAGGCAATTATCTACTTTCAATACTTCAAGTAGTTTAACAGGAATAGCAATCAACAAAAATATAAAGGTCTGCCAAGTGACTGGCCCTATTCTAGGCACAAAGATATCCTAAGGAAGCAGGCAACGAACCTACTCTCATGAAGTTGCTTATGAAATGCTAACTCTGGCCAAGTTACATGAGCTTTCAAAAGCCCCAGAAGCCTACACGGCCTATGGTTGTAATTACATCAAATGCGTTTTGCTTATAGTAAGGGTCTATGAGAGAAGATATTGGGATGTGAGTGATAAGAATGCCATAAACACCGATCTACAATAAAGTTAACACAATCGCTTTGCATTCATGTGGTACTTTTAATTGCTAAATACTTTACATTTAGAGTACCAAGGCAATTCAATAGGGAAAGATTAGTCTGTCAACAAATTGTGCTAGGAAAACTGGATATCCACATGCAAAAGAATGAAGTTGGACCCCCTACTTCACACCATAAACAAAAATTAACTCAAAATAGATCTAAGACCTAAAATATAAGAGCAAAAAGTATAAAACTCTTAGAAAACATAGGTGTAAGTCTTTGCAACGCTGGATTATGCAATGATTTCTCAGATACGATACCAGAAGTACAAGTGACAAAAAGTACAAAAACTGGACATCAAAATTAAAAACTTTTGTGCTTCAAAGGACAAGATCAAGAACATTGAGGCTGGACGCAGTGGTTCAAGCCTGTAATTCGAGCACTTTGGGAGGTCAAGGTGGAAGGACTGCTTGAGGCCAGGAGTTCAAGACTAACCTGGGCAACATAGAGAGACCCCCATCTCTAAAAATAAATAAATAAATAAATAAAAATTTAAAAATCAGCTGGGGGTGGTGGCACCTGCCTGCAGTCCTAGCTACTCGGAAGGCTAAGGGAGGAGGATCCCTTGAGCTCAGGAGTTTGAGCTATGAGCATGCCACTGCACTCCAACCTGGGTGACGGAGTGAGACTCTGTCTCTTAAAAAAAAAAAAAAAAAGACAACCCACAGGATGGGAGAAAATCACAATATCACTTTACACCCACTAGGATTGCTGTAATAAAAAAGACAGACCAGTGTTGGTGAGGATGTAGAGAAACTGGAACACTCATGCACTGCTCGTGGGAATGTAAAATGAGCAGCCACTTTGGAAAACAGTGTGGCAGTTCTTCAAAAAGTCAGTTACCAGAGGATGCAACAACTCCTAGGTAATCACCCAAGAGAAATGAAAGCATACACCCACACAAAAACTTGCACACAGATGTTTATAACAACATCGTTCAAAATAGCCAAAAAGTAGAAACAACCCAAATCTTCATCAACTGATAAATAGATAAGCAAATTATGGTATCTCCACACAATAGAACATTATTGAAACACAAAAAGGAATGAAGTAGAAGCAATGTTCCTTGAAAACATTATGCTAAGTGAAAGAAGCCCAACAGAAAAGGCCACATATTATATGATTCCATTTATATAAAACGTCAAGAAGAGAAAGCTATAGAGACAGAAAATGAATTAGTGGTTACCAGGAGCTGGGCGAAGGGGACAGCAGGGAGTGATTGCTTAATGGGTACAGAATTTCTTTTTGGGATATTTGATGAAAATATTTTAGAATTAGCAGAGTTGGGTGCACTCCTTTGTGAGTATACTAAAACCCACTGAATTGTACACCTAAAAAATAAACTAAGAAAATATTTTCTATAAATCAGGCCCCACACTCTACAGAATTTCCATTATAAGAGCCTAGAGGTCGTCCTCTTTGAAACAATGGGAGGCCTTCTGCCCACCCTCCCTCCATTCTAAGGGTGCTTTAAAAGACCTCTGTGGAATCCTAAGACTCTTAACAGGGCAGTCTGAAAACCATCACTCTAAATTCTGAGAAAATGTTATCACAATAATCAGCAGTATTATCTTATAAAACCTTTCATCTATACAGTGCTCCTTCAGTGCAGAGCTGTCTGACACTTTAACTCTCAGTATACAAGCAAATTACGAAGAATATGTTTTCTCACATGGTCATCAGATGCACTTAGGAGATGTCCACTCAAATTAGAATTCCAGGAAAGACCATAGCCTTCCTTTTGGTGACCTCTTAACCTAAGATCAGGATTACATTCTCCACTTGGGTCTAAGAAAAAAAGAAATACATTAGCTACTAAGTTATTACGTTTATCAGAACTGGTGAGAGCAAATTCTCACTCCTTCATTGAATGAGCCATAACAGCCAACTGCACTTGAACAAGGACTTGGTCTGACCCATAACCACTTTGAAAAGTGGTTCTCTCTGCTTCATTTTAAATACTCAATGCACGCTGAGCCTCATGACTATTAAATGACTGGTTTCTTTGGAAAACCTAATATTTATCTCCAACACAAAATACCTAAAATTATAGCTATCTCACAAATTTGTGTAGTAGTAACCCCATCCCCCCACCCCTAGTCCATTTTTAGAAATATTTCTAACACAGCAGGTCAGTCCTTGTATCCCTATAGAGTAGCCTGCAACCATGAATGACCCTTGGCCAACCCCTGGGAATGTGACCCTCAGGAAGTTCTTTACGTCATTGACTGATGAAGCTGTACACACCCAGAGCAGTGGGGCATGCTGTAGGGACTTGTCAAGACTTGTAGGACTGTTTAGCAAGATTAATGATATATGTGGCTTCTCTGCTAGGGTCCTGAGTTTCTGTAACCATGGCTGGTCACAGGGCAGGATATGCCTATGCGACCAGGCCTTCATAAAAACCTCAGACCCTAAGACTTAAACAGGCCCCCCTGGACAGAGACATTTAGCACATGTTCCTGTGATTTGCTGCTAGAGATAAGGCATGTCCTGTGAGGTCCTGGCGGAAAATGGCTCAGAAGCCTGGGGCTGACCTCTCTGGACTTCACCTGTGTATCTTTTCCCTCCTGCTTTTGCTCTGGGCCCTTTGCTGTAACAAACCTTAGTTAGCCATGAGTATAAACTGCTATTAGGCTCTTATGGCAAATCACTGAACTTGAGGACGGTATGGGACCCCCAAAGCAATTTTTGTACCTTTAAAGATTATAGAGTATACTACTTTGAATGACCTAAAAAACATTACCATTTTGCATCAAGAAAAACACTCAATTAATGGCTTGACTTTGTTATTACATACCTGGTTTAGCAGGATGTTTTGTATAGTCAAAAACCAACACATCAGATGATGGTGTTTTTGTAGCAATGATGTGAGGATTCTGCGGCATGTAACGAGCACGGTTTACTTCTCCTTCATGATTAATTTTAATTTCACATTCGATTTTTCCTGTTACAGAACCAAAGCCACCAAATTCTAATGTGAGGAGAAAGAAATAAACACATACATACACTCGGAATTAAAATTCACAAGTTGCTTGGTTTAATAAACCCAACAGATTTTAACCTTACAGAATACAACACAAAATGATGACACAGAGACAAAACCCAAAAATGTGGGTCCACCTTTCACTTGGAATTTATTTGTTCTCAAAGCCCATTTACACTGGAAAATATTGATAGTTACCTTATGGCAAGTTAATTCAGTTCCACCTTAGATGTAAAACAATGAAAACTAGCCTCTTTCAGTTATAAAGATGAGATAATTACTCTCTAAAATTTCAAATAACCACAAAATAAACAGACCAACAGCTTTTTAGCACAAATACAACTCATCTGGAAGTGCGACACTGAATTAGCATCTTATTTTAGGATTCATCCAAACAGGAAAGGTTTTACCCTGAGGACTATGAACACTTTTTGAGTCTAAAGTCAGAAACATCCTCAACTCAGAAACCTAAGCTAACCCCCACCCCTCCCCAAGGTACACCCCCAAGATACACGTTGGCCCTGCTAGCATACTTGGTTTAACTGCCAGTGGGGTGCCAAGGTTAACCTCTCCATCTGGTGCATGAATAAGACTATACTGTTGCAAAGTCATGAAAAAGGCCTTGTAAAGTAACAAAGCTGCATAACAAACTATGGTAACTTCTGAGAAGCAACAAGATGCTAGCAGAAAAGAATACAAGTAGAGAACATCCAAGCAGATAGAGCCAACAAGAACATTTTCTTTTTTGTGCTCACAGATAAAAACTTGAATTAGTTGCTGACACTTAAAGAAGTTAGCAGAGTTCACACTGTACTTATGTTATTTCTCCCTGCCCTTTATTGTTTCTTCTTTGCACATTCTTTAGCTCATCCTGTGTCTCAGGTCAGGGACCACTAACTCGAATGCCTAACAAAGCTAGGCAGGTAAGAAGTAAAATAGACTGGGGTCTGGAGAAAACACCAAAAGGAGTAAACCACTTCTCAGTTCCAGCCAGTTCTTGCTATGCGGGAATGCTTAAGGAACACTGGCTCTCATGTCCTAGTATCAGCAGCATCTAGCCATTCTTCTCTGCAGCAAACACAGCTCACTATTTCAGTGTGTCTGAAAACCATATCCCAATCCACACAATTAGCCCAAAGCTTCTCTACCCACTGCTCTCACGTGACTACATGCAAAAGCACCTACTTCCCTCTCAGCACTTTCCATCCTGTCAACACAAGAAGTGTGCCTCAGCATCCTAAGGCCACCCCTCCCGATCCTGTCACTTTCTACCTCCTGAGACTTTTCTCCAAATCTGCCCTCCTTTTGACTTTCAACATCCCATCCCTGTGGTCTCCAGTGGTTCTAACCCTTCTGCTACAAAGATACTCAAGTTTCCTACTTCTTTTAGTTAAAATAACCTGAACAGCTCTCCTTTTTAAAAAATTGGGCTTCCAGGTACAATTTACTTTGGACAGAGTTTTGTTTTCTCCAACTCAAAAGACTGAAAAGTCACTGTTTCAATGACCATAATATCTATTAAAAAATACAATAACTGAAAATTTAAAAAAGTGTTAACTGTGAATTATTTCAGCCACTTGTTAGAATGTAATACACTGGATGTGTAACTTTAATAATTTAATATATCTCTATATTATAGACACTGTTAAACTGAATGCCCAATAAGTATGTATTTCAGGACTAAAAGCCATTAAAATTTTTCTGATTACAACAATATTTACCAAAATAAAGTGTAAGGTTGTGGGAGAACGAATTCTAAGTTGTGGGGGGTGGTAAACTGGGTAAATACCTTTGGAGAACAGTTTTGTATTATTTTTAATTAACAAGGAATACACCATACAATCCAGCAGTTTCACTACATTAGATAATATTTTATTTTCAATAAGAAAAAACCTAAAGCAAATCTTAGAAAACATACGATCATCAAACCATTTGGGGCTGTGAAGAAAGAGTTAATCCAGCAGGTCTGGTTGCTTAATCCTCACATCTCTCAGGGACACTGGGGCCATTACTGCCCCTTGGCCAACTCCTGGGAACATGCACCTCAGAATGTTCTTTATGTCACTGATGGATGATAACTTTTGTAGCATACACCTGGAGCAATGGACCATGCTGTACCAGTTTGTCAGGGTTGCTTTGCAGAAATATTAAGATTAATGATATGCACCTACTTTCATTATTGGGGTCCTAAGCTTCAACTGTCATGGCTGGTTGTCAGCAGGATGTGCCTACACAACCAGCCCCCCAAGAAAGCCTCAGACCCAGAGACCCAAATGAGCTTTCTGTGGGCAGAGATATTTCACACATGTCCCTCTAGTTTGCTGCCAGAGAGAAAGCAAGCGCATCCTGTGTGGCCTTGGACAAGACTTGTGCCAGACCTCCCCAAACTCGCCGATGCATGTCTTTTTCCTGCTCCTTTTGTTCTGTATTCTTTACTGTTTTTAGCCACAAGTATAATTTGCTCTTGTGAGTCCTTCTAGCAAAACTTGGGGGTGTCATGGGAATACTAAAACAGGGGAGTATGTGTTTGACATTAAAAAGAAGTCGACAGCCCCTAAATTAACCATACCACCACTGCCCTTCTCCCCCACCCAAAATCCCCACTATTAACTTTTTGGTATATATGTCTGATTTTTTTCTGTGCATACACCAACACATATTACTTTTACCAAAATGGAATATAGTAATTAAACAGAATACCAGTTATTCACTTAATTTATCTTGGATACCTTGCCATACCAATATATACAGATTTTTCTCATTCTTATTAATTGCTGAGTAGTATTTGAAACATACCATAATGTGTTTAATCAATTTCCTATGAACCAACAGCTGGGTTGCTATGTTGATCCTAATTTTTCAATCCTGCAAATAATAAATACTACTATGAAATCCTTGCACATGTGTGTGTAATTCTGTAGGATAAAACCTTAGAAGTTAAACTGTTGGGCCAAAAGCTAATACTATAAAGCTTTAATAGCATATGCTTTGAAAGACGCATACTCCTTTTGATGTCAATATTGGAATATATAGTATACCTACCACCCTTATCGCTGTCACAGTGGGAAGCATCAAACTGTGCATCATCATTGGGAATATGTACTCGAGCAACCACCAGATGATTCTGCTCATCGGATGTATGAGTCCCCAGCACTAGCCAATGAAGGGCATAATCCTTTCCTTCCGGTCTGTTTAAGAAAGAAAATAAGTCACGCTAATCCTACAAGACATCTTCAGTTGATAACAAATTCAATTTAGTTCCCTCAAAATGTATTAAAATTTCTTTAGCAAATATATACTGAGCTTTAACTATGTACCTGCTCCCACTCTGGTTACCAACTTTACAATCCCTCCATGTGCAAATATAAGAAAATAATCTAACCACAAAATGTACACAGAGGGCCTGCTTCTTTCCTAGAGCCATCCTCCTCTGCCTCGATTATCAATGTGAAAACTACCTTTTCTAAAGAACCACTCTGGGAAAGGTACACCCAGTTCAGTAAATAAAGACAAATATCTATACAAGAGTCCATCACTGATTCCTATCTATAATAATAAATTGAGATTTCCCACCTAAAAAATTTCTGCCTATAGTCTTATTTTAATACACTACATGTTTCTGATTTCCTAATAAGAGGCAACAAACAAGGTAGAATGGAAAGAATAGTGTTGAGCCAAAAAACTGGGTTTAAATCCTCGCTCAAACTAAAATTAGCTGTATGCAATTGCTTAAATCTCAACCTCCCTTGGGCCTCAGGTTTTTCACCTAAAAAATAGGTTTAAGTGCCAATGGCATAATGTGAAACCCCTCACTTACGTTTATGACACCTAAAGTTTATGAAATGAGCATTCTCCATTTTACCAAGGGGTCTTTGTTATCTTATTCTGTGGAGACTCACCCTGAAGCCAAAGAATTTGCCAATGCCTCTTGGCACCTCGGTGATTTTGCATTGGTATCTATCAACAAGGCTTTCCCATTTGCATTATCTAGAACAGCAATTTTTGACTGTGCTCCATGGTCTACCTCAATGTAGAGGACTGAGAAGTAGTGATCTGGGTCCCAACATCAGGTAAGTTAGGCCACTTACCTGTTTATTTCTAAATTTTAGTAGCATAAAGAATTCAGTGGTTTAAAAAAAAAGTCTGAAGGTTACTTCTAGGCATGTAGTTTAGTAATAACTTAAGAAAAGCAAGACGAATTTTTACTAAGAAAAAACCAAAAACACACACTCCCCCCACGCCCAAGAACAGAACAAGGCAGTCACAGGTAAGCAATAGTAACTTGTTTGGAAAAAGACATGGGTCTTAGCTGATACATGCAGTGTGCCAAGAACATGATGTGGCTATCAAAAAAGGTAATTAATTTCATCTTAGATGGTCTTTATATGTGGGGGGTGGGCAATGTGCACGAGCAAGTGCCCACACACACATATATATATTTTAGAGGAGGTCTTGCCACATTGCCCAGGCTGGATTTGAACTTCTAGGCTCAAATGATGCCCCAACCTCAGCCTTCTGAGTAGCTGAAAATATAGGTGCGCACCACCCAGGTGGCCCATTTATTTTTAACCAACACTACACTTGGACAACTGGGCTCTAAGTAATGTACTTTATGAGGACTTGAACAAAATGAATCTTTAACAGAGAATAGTGGCTTAAAAATGAAAGGGAAAGCCAGGTACCTTGTAGTCCTAACTACTTGGGAGGCTGAGGCGAGAGGATTGCTTGAGCCCAGGAGCTCGTGTTTGGCCTGGGCAAAATAGCAAGACCCCTTCTCTTAAAAAAAAAAAAAGAAAAAGAAAGTGAAAGGAGGCAGGACGGAGCAATGTTAGGACTGACATAAAAGGAAAAAAGTGACTTGATTTTTGTGGAGTTAAGCAG